GGTTGTGCGGCTAGGTTTTATTGACCGTGTTTTAGGGTTTAGGTAGGTTTGGGGTTTAGGGTACAGGTAGGGTTTAGGGTTTAGGTAGGTTTAGCGTTGGTAAACGGGTCCTGATCTCCGTCGGCCGCATCGATGTTCGCAAGCACATCCGCCAGCGTGATGGGCCAGGCAGAACCTTTCTTGGTAGTGCTCTTCTGCACACTGTCCGCAACTTCTCGGGGTCTTCATAAATAGCATATATCCCAAATGAAAACATGCAAGTACCACCCGTGGAAGACCCAATCAGACACTGAAGAGTAAGGGGGTTTGAGGTCTGCGCTGCTCTGCGTTCCAATACAGGCTGCAGCGGCAGTCGGCTACATGGCTTTGACAATGCCTGCAAAATCCTACACGAGGGTTTCTGAAATTCTGGGATTACCTTGCACGGAGTGTCCTTTCTGCCATACAACGAGGATTTTCTGATTTAAAGTGTATTTTGAGGTCCCCCGCTTTCTGACACTCCCACATGTGAAACTTGTTTTGCAGCTGGATAATTGCCCCCGCAATAGCGCGGGCAACCAGCAGAATGCTAGCACTAGCAGGCTAGCTCTTCACCGGACAGCAAACACGACTAATGCGACAGTCTTCGCACGCGTTCAAGCTTTGAAGACTCCAAAGTGCAGATGTGTTGAAATGGCGACAAGACATCAGAGCCCCATTACCAGGATCCTTGACTGCGTGCAACCTGCGAATAAGCAAAAAGAAACCTCAAATAACAGAGCGAAGATTGGATCTTCCATTATCTTACGCCCAACACCGAAGCAAAGCCCTGGAAATAGCACACCACACATCGAATCTTGCCGCTCGTCCTAAACATCCGCATGAACTTGACTGTGAAGTTGCACCTAGCACAACAGTGTAGATGGGATTCCGGCCAAACACCTCCTATGCGTAAATGCATAACATAATTAGAATCGAGCTTTGGGTTTACTAAGTAAACTATAACGCAAGCGACCCAAAAAAGTTATTCGTAACCTGTTTCGGCCCCGTTTTAAAATCCAAGCATGCCATGGTCCCCAAAACAAAGGCGATGAGCTCTCCGTGAAGTCCAGCACGTGGTTCAGCGTGGAGCCCAGGAGGAAGCTGGCGTGCTGGAGCCTGGGCACATCGCCCCGTGGAGTTTAGCCTATCTGATATGAAGTCTACGATATAGAGTATCTGATATATAATGCATGATACTGGTAACATATCATATAACCGCATTAAGTAGAATACAACCGAACAGCACAGAATAGAATAGAACGGAATGGAAAGGAATAGAATAGGAGACAATCAGTCTATATATATATATATAGAGAGAGAGAGAGAGAGAGAGAGAGAGAGAGAGAGAGATAGTGTCGTTATGCTTAGCCTGAAATCTATCCCAACAACGAAATCGCACGGCGCAAGTGCCGCAAGAAACTCTGTTGAAGCCTGATCTACAGACCAGCGGCAGATTTCTCCGATCTGGGTGTGAATGTCTGGCTACGACCTGGGCCACCCGAGCGAGGGACCGGGAGACTCTACTTGTAAGACTTTCGGAACTGCCCTCGTCATAAGCAGCAGCACCACCAGCAGAGCGTCGGTATCTCTTCATCTGCTGCAGCAGCAGCGTCTCATCGTCATCGTGATTCATGTTCGCGAACATTATCACCCCACCACCATCCCTATCATCACCATCATCATCCGCACACGCCCGTTCTTAACAACATTATCCGCGGTTTGGCAGCAAAAGCGGGTGCAGTGTTCTGAAGTTGTGGCTATGATCTATCCCATGGGCCATGCGTGCAGGGTGAGGGGTGAAGAATGGAGAACTCAATCTCCACTCATGCTGCCGGGAAGCCCAGAGAGCCGTCACCACCCCGTACCTTCCAGGGACCATGGGACGGGCCTGCACTCCGGTACACGATGTCCTTGGGCCTCTGAGCAAAACTTCGTATCTTCTCCATAAACTGGGAAAGCGAGCCCAAGCCCAAATCCTGAAAGCCTCAAGCCCGTGGAATGCCCTTCTGTCCCTGAAGGCCCAATCCCAAAACCAAAAGCAGTCAAAATCCCTATACCAACCCCTACTCGGATCAGGTTGAGGCTCGAAGCTTCGAGTTTCAACTCTCAGACCCTGAGAGCTGAACCCCAGAAGACCGACCCTTTGAAGCAGTTCGAAAGAAGGAGTTCATAGCTCAGAGTCAGAAACCCTAAAAAGCCAGGCTTTTGCGGGTAAAGCATCGCTAGCTCCTCGACCTGACACTCCCGAACCTCTAAGCCCATCCTCGAAACCTCAAGCTTCAACGCCCAACACTCAGCAATCAAATCCCTGAACCCCGAAAATAAAGCCAATTCTTGAGCCTCAAGAGCCCTGCATGCCTTGGGGGTACGTGTAGAAAGGATCCCACTACGTTTAGCTTTCTATTGGGTCCGAGATGGATTTTGCCGGGAGCACAAGCAGAAGGGACTCGGTGTGGGCGCCGAGGGAGGAGCATTGCAGCTTCTCTGGAAGTCACCTAAACTTCAGTCGCACTTTTTTGGGCGTGGAACAAAGATCATACAAGCACGAAGCACGGTTTCATTCCTGAAGAGGCCACAAAACGGGTGTAGCAGAGTGGTTCGCGTTTCGCGCGTGGGTTGTAAGGGCTATGAGTGCTTGGTGGCACGGTGCTAATTTCGGCTTTGTGGTCCATCTGCTGGCATTGTGACCGTGCCCTTTGTTTGGGCAGCTATCTTTTCCCTCTCGCTTTGCTGTGGAGCAGCTATCAGTTGTCTGGTTTGCTTTCGCAAAATGAATGACCTTTCTGCTGCTTTTGTGAGGCTCTGTTTACCTTTGATCCTTCTTTCAGTTCGACAGCCTCGTCACCCCAAAGCCCAAACCGTCACGGCCCCAAACCCGAAAACAGGCCCTCAAACGTACAACAGGGAGCACCCTCCACCGAAAATCCTGAACTCCTCAAATGCTGAAGCCCAAATCCCCTGTCAGAGTCACGCATCCCCTTGGCTGCACCATAAGCGGCCTCCTGATCCACCTCCGAGGCAGTCTGTCGGAGCGCTTGGGGGTCTTTCCACCAGGTAGGGTCGAGGGTGCTGGGGTTCAGAGTGTTCTGGTGTTAGGGTTTAAGGGTTCAGGTCAGCACTTTGACCCGACCACTGCAACTAAACCGTGGTGGCTTGCCCGCACGAGTTCCGACCCGAAAAAGCAACCCTCGTCTCGCACGGCATCGAAGCATGGAATCTCTACATAGCCCAGGAGGTGCTTCAAAGATTGAAATGTACCAAAAAATATGCCGGAGCCTCGATGGCGTTTCCCTGCAGCTGCACCAGGCCCTGTGCCTCTGCGAGGTTTTCGTAGATTTGTGATCAGCGGCTGGACATGGCGGGGCGATGTCGGGCACAGCACTTGAAAGGTGGGGAACGGCGGCTATGGAAACGATGGGTTACAGAGCTGCTGGGCCTGGGGCAACGCTACCACAGCAGCTTCACTGTGAACAGCAACTGTGCAGTCTCCCCGGCCTTGACTACGAGGTCCACATCTGTGGGGTAGCCGGCTGCAGCATTTGCCTCGACTAGCCTGCTGCGCACACCAGAAATCTGGCTTGACACCTACGGCCGAAGACCCGCCGAGTGCAAAGAGAAATTCGGGAGACGGCTTTAACGGCCGAGGAACCACAGACTAATAGATCCTTCGAATCCTTTTTGAGCAGGACCTTTAAACCGAAAGCTGCGTCCTGATCTTCAGGCTATCTCAGGGACCGAGCTGTATGACCACAGCGGCCTCCGAAAATCCATCCACTCATCGTCATTCGTACCTTAGCTCTGCGATGTAGTTGGGCTCGGGGAGGATCGCAACGACTACGAAGAGATCTAAGCAACCGCAAGGAAATGACTCGATCCCGTCATCGTCATTCTGACGACCCCCCCCCCCCCCCGTAAACCCCTAACCTTCCCGAGTTCCCGACTCCCAAAGCCCGACACCACACCACTAAATCCCCTGAATCCCTTCTGCAAGTGGCAGTCGAACAGCTCCGAGCCGATGGCCGCAGATAGCCCCAAAGACCCCAGCACCGGCCATCGTAGATGTCGCATGGCACGGGCTGTAAGGCTGAGGGTTGAGAGCTTAGGGATTGGGGTGTGGGTGTGTGTGATGTTGTCTGGAGTAGAGTGAGTTTAAAGTGCGTAACATAGGGCTTTTTGGCTACTGCCTGGCATTGCCGGGTCTGGGGTGCAGGGCTTGTCGGAGTCTATGCCGACGCGGGGCTGAGGTTGCAGGAAGTCGGGTCCACTTCCGGACATAAGGCTCTGGTCTTGGGCTAAAGACGTGGAGCTCTTCGCCGTTTTCTACAGTTATCCTGCGCAATAGCAGCCATGGCAGGTCAGGTTGCCTAATCTACTGAATGCCTGGCCAAGCAGGAACGAAGCTGCGGCTCAAATATGTGAAAGCTGTGGTCGCTAGTGGCCATGTCACCAATCCGAAGCACAAAATCCTGAACCAAAACCACCAGACATCGACATAAACATAGAACTGGAGCCGCGCAGAGCAAGGCCTGAGCCCGAGATACCAACCAAGAAACACAAGCCAAACCACACGACTAAGTGCTGTTGGTGTGAGCAAAGGTGTGGGTTGGGCCCGGCTTGGGCTTGGATTGAAGGCGGCCTCCTAGCAACTCCCGGAAAGCCATGACCTAAGCCCCCAAAACAACCTCCAGCTTGGAACCCCAATAAGATGGCAGGGACCTGAAAGAGCAGCAAGTCAACAGCACCCCGATAATTGGAGCATGAACAGGCAACCAATGCAACCAAACCCTATCCTCAGGCCTATCCTTGGTCAGACCATCCCTTGCACGCAGGTCTGAGCCGAGTCGGACCAATCCAGAGCTTAGGGTTCAGTCTCGCAGAAGAAGAGACCTAAACAAAAACCCTGCTAGAATTTGAATCCGCCTCAAGCCCTGTACAAAAGTCCTTAAATGCTACAGTAGGCCCTCCCGGCATTCCAGGTCCTGGGAAGATAGCATAGACACCCTCACAGGGAAAGCTCAAGGTGTCAGGGCGAGCGTAAGTTCGGTGTGAATGCTTCCACTATGGCGATTTTACGCTGAAGCTGACCCGACAAAGCGCGACATCAGCGAAATCGAGAAGGCCTCTGTGGCTGTAAGCTTCTACCTGGATTTTTAATGAGGAACGAAGGAGAGGAGAGGAGCCGCGTCAAGGCACCACACACAGAACATCTTGATGCCCGGCCTTCCGAATGCCTCTGCGCACGCTCGTGGCAGCAGAGGCGCCTGCTCTTTTCAGGACTTGGGGGAACGCTCGAGTCCTCAAGCCAACCCTTTTGCAGTCTTTGGTCCTTCTTCCCAAGCATGCCGAGAATGTAGAAACACAAGCCCTTGGATGCTGACCGAAGACTACACGTTGAATGAGTTTGCTTGCGTTTGTTCCTCTGTCCTAGCTGAACCCACACTCTCCACCTCGTGAGTTTGGATCAAGATCCTGTGCTTCACTTGAAGCGTCCAGAACAGGTCTGAGACCCCTGCTGCACCAGCTCACCTCGAAGCATGAACAGCCAACCTTTCTCTCGCATCAGCCTTACTAGACAGGCCCCCAACCATCTAAGCCCCGGATCGAACTCCCTGCAACCGGCCTTTACACGGAGCCTCCCGAGGGAGTAGATGATGTTCGCCAACTCTTGCTGATTGCCTGGCGAGTCTCAAGTTACAAGCTCCGTGGCTCCTGCAAGGCCGCAATGCCTTTATTGCCATCTGTCCCCATTACGTTACGGAAATTGGACGCCAGGTTCGGTCATTACAAGAACCGGGTTCTGGGACGTTAGCATCCTGGGGCTTCAAGGCTTTCCACCCCGCAACCCGGAAGGAAGGGACTGCAAGCTTGAAATCGAAGCCCTAAACCGACACCGTGAGGACCCTTGTTGGACCCCGTTCTTGACTTGCAGACCCGAAACTTCGACACAGGCTAGGCTTGAAAACACCGTGCAGGCACGACTCCATGATGCAAACCCCAAACTCCAAAGTCGGACTTCACGTCCGTTAGACCGGGCTCCGAGGCTTCCGGGGTCTTTCGTAAACTCGCGGGCTGAGCAATCCGCGATGAGCAGCTCAGTGCGGGAGCAGAGCTCTGGCAGCTGCCTCCGCTATTTGCATTCTTGAAGGCTTCATATCCTTAGGGTTTTTTGTTTCGGGTGAAAGGTCTAGAGTCTAGAGCTTAGAAAAGGAGTTAGGGCCATTCAGGGTTCGATGTTGAACTGAGGTATCATCTGAGGTTTTGGACGTAGAGTTTACTGTTTCTCTTGTTTCAAGGTACCAGTACCAAGGTTGTAGGAGTACCTGCTATGTGCTTCTAAACGAGGCCCGAGTGAGGGTTCAGGGGTTTATGCTTTCGCTTTCAGGGTTTCAGAAGATGAGGGCCGGAGACACTAAAGGCAAGGCTGATCTCGCCGCTTATAGGCATAGCCTGGGCTGGAGTTTAGGGTTTAGGGTTTAGAGTTTAGGGTTTAGCGTAGCTAGAGGGCGTGAAGATTGTTTCAAGTCTTCTTCTGGAGCTCTGGATTTACGCGCAGAGACTTCGAGGAGCCTAGACTCCCTCTGTTTCGGCAGCTCCAAGCCTGAACCCCAAATCTTCGTAGCCTTACCCTTCAAGGGAGAGGCTAGATTCAGCTAACATAGACGCCTGGTAACCTGGAGAGCCGGCGCTTGTGGGAACTTCGCTTTGAGACCTAAGCCCCACACCATCTGCTGCGAGTTGGGCCTAAGTTCAAAGCATCTGGGCGAACTCGTGGGCCGACGGCCAGAAAGATGTTCTTTTCGTCCCCCTCAACCCAAACAATTGCAAAGCCCAGAAACTGAAAAACACGAAACCAGCTGGCTCCAATCGAAGATACATAATACTATTAGGAGCCGGTGCTGGGAACCATGGCTTCACGTCCCACCACCAAATGCGGAATCCATACCGTATCAAAGTGTTCAGCCCCCCCCTTTCCAGTGCCACCAACGGTTTCGAGACTGCTGCGGGGAGGCTCATAAGCCAAGACTCCCATGAGCCTCTGAACTCAAGCATAACTGATCAAAGTCCTGTCTCTCGGGCTGATTGCAGACCCTACCTAACCCCCAAACACCGACACTTAAAATAACCCCGAACCATTCCGAACCCGCAAGCGCCAAGGCTTCGGGATGGAGGTCTTACTGGAGTTCTGGGCGTGAATGTAAGGGCACCACCAAGCTCTCAACTGAATGACACAGACCCCAACCAGCATGTGCAGCAACCCAATCCCCATTGTCACTCATAAATTTCATAAATACCAACTGTATACTAACTATACTGATAAGGGCCCGAATCGCCTCACCAGCGAGGCTGAGGAAAATCGTAGCGCCCCAGTGCCCTGCTTAATGTGGGCACGTCGTGATGACAGTCTTCGGCGATTGGCAGTCCTGGGTTACTCCCATACTGACCTGGCTTTGCATCGTCTCCCAGGACTACTGGCTCCTCTACGGCGACATGAAGCTGGATCAGGGCGACGAGGAGCCCGAGTACGGTGACCTGACCTACTTGGTCGTGGTCTGGTGGGCTGGCGTGGTCATCAGCTTGATCTTCTACGGTTTGTCTGCGCCCCTGGCTCACGTGCTGGACGCAAGCAACCGGTACGCCAACAGCCAATTCTTCAACGAAACCGAGACGCGTGTCAATAGCCTGCACATCACGCTCCTTCACTCGAGATTCCTGGCTTGGAACGTGCATGCCATTACGTATCGGCCCCTCTCTTCTACCAGGCTGCTTTGGGCAGGATGCCCCGCATCGTTGGATGCCCCGGGCCAGGCCGTCGGCGGCCTGCAAAGCTTGGAGTTGCTCGACGGCACCACCCCGGCCGAGGACAAGCCAAAACGGCCGCGGTGGCGATTGCCATCATCGCTGTGCCACGCTCTCTGCCGTACTGGATGTTGTGGGTAAGTAACACCCTCAACGTGAAGGAGTACATCCTTCACCTGGTGTCGCGATTCCGTAGTGGCATGCAGCTTTTCGTCCATGCACTGGCGGGCAAGGCCATAACGTCGAGTGATGTTGTGCCTGACACACTTGACAGTGTGAAGGAGTACACACCGCACCTGGTGTCGGGACTTCGTGGTGGCATGCAGCTCTTTGTCAACGCTCTGGCGGGTAAGACCATCATCCTGGATGTTGTCGCGAACAACAGCATTGACCAGCTGAAGGCGTATACCGTGCGCTCGGTGTCGCTACTTCTTAGTTGCACGCAGCCCTTCGTCCACACGTGTGCAGACAAGACCATTGCTATGGATGTTGTGACGAATGACAGCAGCTGCTACGTGACGGAGTTCCGGGATTGTTTAGTTTCCGACTTCAAATGCTGATGAGGGGTAATTCAAATTTACGGACCAGCAAGAACGAATCTGCCAAGGCATTGCTTGCTGTCTGTTTAGCCGAGTAGGGCTGTCAGCTGGAATGTGGAATATGACCATAGCCACATTCTGCGAGTCTGCATTTTCAGCGGAACTGCGTGGAACCGCAGTTGCACCGCTCGCCTCCTTGGACATGATTGTGCACTCACCCTTGCTGCTTAGTGTTTTTGTGTTTGGACAGTTGGTTACCTTTTCCGCGGCCCAATGCGTGTAAACGCTGTCACTGTGCGCATTTTGTGGCCGCGATGAGGGCTCCGGCGGTTAGGATGGCCTCTCAGGAGCCCGGTTTGGAGGAATACCTTCCGCTTTCGGGTGATCGTGTCCTGCTCTTCCGTTTGTTACCCTCAGTGCAATTAACAGTCCTGCTCCAGGGTTCTGTTCTCGGTGGCTTTTGGGTAGCCCGCAAGGGATACCAGGCGGTTTGAATCAGCCAGGTCCGTTTAAGTGTTGTGCCTGCACTTATCTGCCTCGACAAGAGTTGGAATGGCAGGTGCGCGAAGGGCATGCCACTTTGTATAATTAGGCCCGGGACAGTTTTTGGCTTCGCCTACTGGGTACATCCCTAGCCCGACCCCTCCCTCTAGTACATATGCCAAGCAATTTCTGCGCAGAGGTGAGGGTACCCGTCACAGTTTTTTAAGTTGCAAGTTTTGCGACGCGCTCGTCCGTATGAGCTCTACTGTCCGCACCAGAACCAGAACTATACGATAAGATACCCTGAAACCCCGTTGTAACTCCAGGGCCCTGTAGTTGGGAGCTTAGTAAAAATCCTTCCAAAGCCTTCTGACGCAGACGCCTCGGCCGGGCCTCTCTTGGAGCTGAAGCGTAGCCCAGGAATGCATAACGTTAGCACATCCGCGCGCCTGCAAAGGAGGCAGGCTTCCGTTCTCAGCGGCTTAGGGCTTAGAGCTTCAGGGTTTTATGTTTTTTCTTGAGGGCCCTTTTCCTCCCTGCTACAGTGCGGCTTAGGGTTTAGGACGTCGGTGTTTAGGGCCTTCACCTAAAGCATTTAGGGGACTTGGGAGCTGTGGACAGCGGCACACAGATCCCAAGAGGCTTCAAGCCCCTTTCGGGCTCCTGAGCTTCGCGACTCCGCACATACAGCCTTTTCCCACACTGAAGACCGCATTCTGCGCAGCGGACAAGGTGCGAGAAGTGCCTTCCGTCCTGTTTAGGACCCTGCCAAATGGTCTGCCGCGATGCCGGCACTGCAAAACGAGAAGCTATTCCTCCTGTCAGCAGGGACCCCGTCACCCTGGTGCGCCGAAGCTCCTCAGAAGGTGGACTAGCTGCTGGTGACCTTCCTCTGCAGCCTGTTGGAGCGGCGTGCTGCTTTGGTCGTCCTTGACCTTGGGATCCGCCTTCTTCTCCAGCAACATGCGGGCGATCTGCTCGTTACCTCCGAGTGCTGCCATGTGGAGCGGTCTGAGGCCGTGGTCGCCCTCGGCATTTGGGTCGGCGTTCTGCTCCAGCAGCATGCGTACGACCTCCTCATGACCTTGTTCTACTGCACCCTCAAGCGGTGTCTCGGAAAGCGACTTTTTGACGTTGGGATCCGCGTGTTTCTCCAACAGCAAGCGGACAACGTGCTCGCTACCTTGAAGCGAAGCCGAATGAAGCGCCGTGGTGCCGGCATAGTCTTTGGCATTGAGATCGGCCCTCTTTTGCAGCAACAGGCGCAAGATGTCCACATGACTTTGCGTGGCTGCTAAATGCAGCGGCGCAATGGAAATGGCAGTTTTGGCATTGGGGTCCGCATCTTTTGCCAACAGCATGCGGACAACCTCTATGCGATCTGTCTCTGTTGCTTGATGCAGAGGTGTGATGCCACCCATGTTCTTTGCATTGGGGTCCCCCTTCTTCTCCAGCAGCATTCTGACGACGTCCTCGTCGCCTACCCTTGCAGCAAAATGCAGCGGCGTGTTGCCACGAGCCTTAGGGCATACAAAGGCATGCAGCAGGACATCTGGATTTGGCAACAATGCAAAAGCCGGGGCACATCTTGGCACTTGGTGCTGGACTCTGTCCACACGATGTCATTCGAGAAAGGGCCAGGTGTCTCGTTCTTCAGCAGGAAGCGACGACTCAATCCGACCGCCGCCATCGCCGCATTGCAATTCTTGTCGCTCTGGCCTCTCTCCTGCACAGAGAAACCTATATAAATCAAACAAACTTAAGACGCGGAAGCCCTGTCAAAGTGAGCTGATCTTCGGGACCGAGCACGGTTCAGGCAGCTCTTGCTGTCAAACAAGCTTTCAGCAAAATGCCAGAGCTGCCCAGCCTGCCGAAACTTCTGCACGGCCTGCGCGAGGCGCTCGTCAAGATTGCAAGCGTACCCCGGATCATCTGGACAGTTCAGGCATTCCCAGGTGATGCGTCCAGAGCGGTGGGAAAAGTCTCGTGCACTCCAGTGCCTATCTGCGTCTGATGTTGCTGCTGAGAAATACCAGCTCGTCGCCCCTTCCAAGAGCTTCTCTCGCAAGGCCGGGCTAGTCTCGGCGCAGGCGCCCATCATGTCTATTAGCAAAATGTGCGGAGACCAGAACCCCATACCGAAGGCCGCGATTCCCAATGTCGGAACTTCGAACCTGTATACTACCGCATCCCGCAACGGGCGTTCACCGTCCAGCTTCTTGTTTACCAACACAACCACAGTGCCTTGGCCCTGCTCCCTCATACCGAGGACGAAAGCGAAGCTTGCAAAGGCCCACATGTTGTTGGCCATTCGCAAACCCATGTCGTTCTTGGACATGTAGCATGCTCGGAGCTGTTGATGCTGTTCCATGAGTCTCCCCAACTCGGTGCTGGGGTGCAGTGTGTCGTGCTCTGTCATGTCGGCAAACTGAAAAAGCCGTTCTTTGGACGTTCGTGCTGCGGCGCCGGCCTGCGATGCTTTCGCTCAGACTTGGGATCTGGATCTAAACCACACACATGCCAAACTCCCGAATTTTGGATGCACCTGCCTCTGCCTCGGGATCCGTCCAGAAGCCAGACCAAAGGATGGTTTGTCTTCTGGGCGTTGCCAGCTTGACGAACCAGCTCTGCAAGAACTTGAGCTTTGCCACCAAGTCGAAGGTACCTCGGTGGTCCGTCGAGAAATGGAAGCCTTTCATCGAGGCATCAAAGACGTTTTGGGCATCCGGGTGGTCTTGCGGGATCTGCGATGCCTCGATCAGGTCACTGCCAAGGCGAAGGACGTCAACGGCGCTCTCCAGACAGCGATTTCTTTCCACGGAGGTGTGGCAGGACCCTGTGAGTGCATCCACTAGGCTGCTCAAGTTCCCGCGGCACTCGCGGAGCCCGGCGTCGTCCGGCATTCTTTCTGAAACGTTAAGGAACTTCAATTCCTCTTCCACTGGACTCCTATATATCGGGTATCTCTTGTTCAATTTCGACGAGGGTGAATCTTGGGCTTTCCGAAGATGTGCTTCGAGCTCTGCTTGCACTGCCACCGTCGACAAGCTCTCACCTGGTCTCCATGGCCAAACCGAGTGACCGTGACTGTGGCGGCCTTGCCGCATGCTGGCCACATGCTGGCCGATGAATGCCAGAAGCATGCGTGCCAACATGGACCGGCATGACGATGCCATACGGAATCAAGTAATGGGCAAATTGAACCGGTGAAACGGCTTCACCGGATTTGCATTGCTGATGGGTTGGCATGTGACATCCACCCCTGTCTTGACCACGAGAGCAAGAGAGAGGGATCGCACGAGAGTCAACCGACTCGACTCGAAATCAAAGTCAGCAGCGAGCATCTTGGATTGCATCATCAGAACATGGTCGTTCGACCATGGGGCCCGCACATCGAAGTTCGCGATCCCAACGTCATCAAGAGCCTCCACGGATGTGTGCTTTCCACAAGGCCGCGGCCGTGAAGCTGCGTGGGTGTTGCTAAATCTAAGGCTACTGTGCCGTCAGTGGCCCGTGGCACCCAGAATGGCAAGGTCGAGTCGATAGGCTTTGTCTCCTACCTCTCTCGACGTCGGCTCCCAAAGCCCCCAAACCCTACAGCCCCCAAACCCTACAGCCCAATACGCCCCACAACAGAGCCTCCCCAAGGCGCCGCGCCAGGGACCGGGCTGCCGGGGTCTCGGCGGGAGGCCTCGCGAAGCGGCCCAGGCGATGCCAGGCCTCTGGCTCCAGGGTTTTTGGGGGTTTCCGTCGGGTTTGGGAGGGTTGAGGGTGTTGGTTTGAGGGCAGAGGGGTTGGGGGTTGGCCGGGGGTGGAGTGGAGGGGGCGAGGGGTGGAGGTGAAGGTTTCTTGTTCGTGAGATTTCAAGTAGAGTAGACTTCCTACTCCACTTCCAACAGAAATTGATACAGATGCGTGGGCGAGGCGCGGCGTGGACAAGGGGTGCAGTGCGACATCGGGCGTGCAGGCAGTGTGCGGGAGAGGCATGAACAAGGGGTGAGGGGGATGTCGGGTGCGCGGGTGAAGCGTGGACATAGGGTGGAGCGCGAAGTCGGGCGCGCGGGCAAGGGTCGCGATACGGGGTGCAAGGGCGGTGTGAGGGGGGGTATCGATAGAGGTTTGATTTGCTCGGGGTTTCGGGCTTAGAGCTTGAAGTTTAGAAAATTGAAAAGCTTAACATGTTTGTTTTTGTTCGCGGCTCTGGAGCACACTGCGCTCGAAGGCGGCGGCTCGGGCTCGGGAGAACGCTCGCCCGAAGGTAACGGGATCGGGAAACACGCATCGTTCGAAGGTCCTTTCGCTCTTCTAAGAAAGTTTGTTTTTTTCACATGCACCTGGCTGGCCTTCAAACGAGGCACCTTGTATGTTGGCCTTCAGCACGCCGTTTCCAATCTGCAGATCATCCCAGAACTTCCGGTTCTGGAAGGCTTTAGAATTTTCCAAAGATTGGGCCGCCGTTGGGAACCTGAACATCCGCCGAGGCCTAAGCTTGTCGCTCAGGGCGGGGGGGCAGGACCTCCCACACAAACTTCGACCCTCTTTCGGAGCCTGTTTTCGACCCCCTTGCCCGGCTTCCTTCACCCCTTTTTCGCCTCAATCTGTGGGATTTTGTCGTTGCCCCTCCGCCCCCTCCCCCCCCGGCTCTCCCCCCCTTCCACCCCCCTCCCCCGCGCCCCCTCTCGCCCTGGGCCGGCCCACCCCCCTTCCCCACCGAAATCTCTTGACTTGCCCCCTTCTTTCCTTTTTCCTCCCCCACGTCTTGCCCTTTTCTCCTTTTTCCACCTTCCCGCTGCTTTCCTGCCCCAAGCTTCCTTCTGCCCCACTTCCTTCTTTTCTTTGTCCATCTCTTACCACTTTTCCATCTTCCCCCGCCACTTTTCCATCTTCCCGCCTTTTCCATCTTCCCGCTGCTTTCGCTCGTGTGTTTTTTCCATTGCTCTTCTCCTTCGATTCTCCTTTCCCCTTCCTGCCCTGGGCGCCGCTGCTGGCACTACTGGAGCCGCCAGCGGAGGCGGGCCGCGTAGCGTTAGAATTATGCTTGGTTCCAAACCTTCTCAGAAAACCTCAAGAACCAGTCTGTTGACAGAGTTTCTGTGTCACGCCAGCCCTATTCAATGTTAGATTTTGTAAACTTGGTAAATTCTTCCAATATACTGAATTCAGGCCCTGGGAATTACATAATTTCAGAAATTAATCTGCTGCCCCGCTTTTCAAAAATTCAATTTTCTGATTAGTAATTAAATTCACCTCCTGGAACCCCTGGAATTTAGCAATTTAAAATTTTACTTATTTAATATGAAATAATATTAACCAGGTCTGGGCTTGAGCCTCCCATCGGAAATTTATTAACTGAATCAACTTAATCTACGGCCACGTTCAATTATTAATGTTTCTAACTATTAAATTCACCTCCTGGAACCACTAGAATTTAATCTGGGCTTGAGCCTCCATCGGGAATTTACAAATTTAATGTATTTAATCAGCGGCCCCTTTTCAAAAACAGGCTTCCTATATAGGACTGATGGGGCGCCCCGGATTTTAAACATTAAGTTTTCCAATTCTTAAGTTCACCTCCTGGAACCACTGGAATTCAATAATTCATGTATTTAATGAACTTAATACATGTATCATTGAATTGATCTGGGCTTGAGCCTAAGACAGGGGATTAAATAAGCTAATATATTTAATCTGCGGCTTGAGTTGAAATATTGCACTATATTGAATACTATTTAGTTCAATATTCAATTCCAAGTCTCAAAGAACTAACAAAATATTAAATTAGTAAATGCCACCTTCCGGGTCACATTGTACATATTCTTCTGTTTTAGAAGGGGGGGTTGGGGATTCTTTGAGGGTTCAGGTTTTAGGGTCCCCGCGAGACCTGTTGGACCGTCACAGGGGGGAAGGGATTCTATAAGGGTCACCTTAGGTAGTATTTCGTGTAGAGTTCCTATTCTCTTTGTTGTTATACCATAGTAGCAGTGGCAGGAATGGTCTTCCCTTTCCAAAATATGCCTAGCGCATAGCATTCATGGCATTCCCTTCTTGTCCCCATAGAACTCTTATATCTTGTATGATGACACAGAACCTCGAAACCCAGCAAACGTCGGGCGCCGGCTGTGGCATGCGACACAGCCGGCCACCTGCTCGAGTGCTTTCAACCTTGACTCGGGTAAAAACCTAGCGCTTCGGGCTGTGTAGGGTTCACACTAGTTTTGCGCCCTACTTTGCCAGGACCGGCCTTCATGGCAGAGTTTAGGAGAGGGATTCAGGATTCATGAATGGTTTTGTGGCTTACTGGGTTTAGGGGAGTGTACAGACCAGAGTGTCACAGCTTGCAACTTCACTTTGCTACCAGCTCCCACGCATTCACTCTATACAGGCTGCCTTCAGCCTGCCAAAAGCCTCTGTTTCTGCGGGAACTTTTTTGATACGAACAAGTGTAAGAAGTGGACGGAGAATTGGTTTGCAGGCCCCTTCTGCTGGAGGGATGGCGGGCTTAAGAGTTTAAGGTAGAGTCTAGTACAGGGAGCCCAAAAAGTTGGTCCGCGCATGACCCGAGAAGCGTCCATGCCAAGCAAACTTGTCCCACCTGCCCAAAGGTTCGTACCTGGGCTGGTCACATCTGGGACTCTTTTGGGGAGGTACTGTAGGCTTCGGTGCATTAGGAGGCAGATCCGCAAAGATGCCGCAATGCTCCCACACCAAGTGTTGCAAAACAAGGTCTCATAAGATTTTGCCGCTGAGGTCTTCAAGTCTACTTTGATTTGAGGCAGAAGACACGTGACAGCACAGACTTTCCATTGTCCATGAAATCAACAAACTGCTCGCAGAGCGCTGAGACCTCCCCACCCAATTCGTGGCCCCGCAAACCTTCAACTTGAGGCTTCTGTTTAAACCTCAATCCAAGAACAACCCAGGCAGACCAACCACAGAACTGGGGCCAGGGGGCTCGCGAAAGAGGGTCGCCAACTCCTTCCGGCAGCGTATTGGCACGACTGTTTCTGGGGGTCTTGGCTGCCGCTGTGGCTGCCACGACGACGGCGACGAAGATGACGAGGACGACGACACCGGCGACAGCGACGACGCCGACGAACGGACGAACGCACCTTGCTCCACGGAAAGGCATCCACGTTTACGGTACTGCAGCCAAACCGTGAAGTTTGGGACGTTGTGTCTGTGCCGGGCCTGATGCGGCTTTGCTGCCCGTTCGATCGGCATGTACACTAAGAGCTTGAAGCCCAGCCGGGCACCCCTCATCCGAGCCCTGAGGCGTCACAGAAGTATTCGCAAGAGAAAGCCTTCCGAAGACCCCACTAGTAAAACACTGAGACTCATTTCCATGATAGCACTACTAGCGCTATCGTGCTTGCATGTTCCCACTGAGGCTAGCGGATAAAAGTGCCAACCAACCACGATTTGGGGTGCCGATCTCCACCCCTTCTCCTCCAGGCTACGGCTTCTGGCGACCTGCCTCTGCAATCTGTTCCTCATCTTGGGCCAGGGGCAACCGAATTTCAATGCCGGCACCTATTTGGAAAAAATCCGCGAAAAAGATGCCTTACAGATCAACGTCTTTGTTCGTATGGATTAAAATGCTAGGCTATGCCGACTTCAAACCCCATTATACATCCCCATAATCATATCCATAGCCACCTGCAGGTTAATACAATAATACATATCTGCCTGATTGGCCCTCCGATAGTAAGGATATTGCAGTTCCCTTGGATCTGACTGCAAACTGTACCTTACTGGCAAGCTTAAGATCAATTTTAAAATCACCCATAAGCTGTTCGCATTGGTAGCCTCCGTACTGTACCGGATACTTCCCTCAACAGCAACCCGCATTAGGAGAAACCCGGGCCATTGGCCTCAACAACAGGTTCATTAATCCAGACGCAGCTGTGGTATCCCTAGCATGAGCATTCTAGACCCCGAAGCTTAAAGTCATTGCATCCCCAATACGATCTCCTGTTATATACATACAAGTAAGCTCAATACTGCTCAAGCATATCAAAAGTAGACTTCATGGTCAGGCTAATATCCAACTACAGAAAACGAACTCCACCAAGAAACACTTTCCTTGCTGTTTTCGCTTTGGCGTTGCCCTAATGATGGCCTTTAGATTTTGTGGGGTTATAAAATCATTTGTTTGTTTACATCGGAATTTATATTGGATGTGGCACACCCTTTTCACTGTACTATATGATCATGTCGGACTTGCTGCCGGATTTGCCTGTATGCATGTATGGACATTTATGTCTCTGCAAATACGAACTCTAAGTTTAAGCGTGTACTAAATACCAACATAAAAAACGGGGATCCTTAACTGACTCCTGATTCCAAAGAACATCAACCCCAACCCTACCCTTGACATTCACTGTTGTTTAGGAATGGGAGTCAATCAAAGCTCACGCTCATTCATACGTATTGCTGGGGCTTTGATTTGAGACGACAGTGAAGGCTATCTTCGGAGATAATACTCGTGCCCATATTGATCAGACAGAAACTTTCATCGTTCATCATCTCTCGAAGTATCTTCGCGGCTGCCGTCATACATATGCTCACCCTGCGGAACTTCAAAACTGAATCATACACCAGAAGCCTAAATGTAGGAGGATTGGTGGCGGTATCGCGGCACCTCGCGGTGGTTCTTCGGGGGGGTGTAGCATGTATGTATACATCTATACACATATATATGGGGTAGGTAGTCATTCCCCCCCTGCATTTTTGTAATTTCGCTCTTCTGTTCTCGATTCTGCTATCTGGTTCCGAAACTCGTGTCTGTTTCGAAACACATCCGTAGGAGGCCCCAACACACCCGTTAACTCGTCAACCCCATGATGTGCCCAAACACTTATCCCATTAACCCAATGACTTGCCCAACCCATGAACCCATTAACCCAATGATTTGCCCAACCCATTTACCCATTAACCCGATGATTTGCCCAAGTGGGGATCGACTGCACAAAACCCGTTAACCCCTTAACCCATTAACCCATTACCCCCATGATTTGCCCAACCCATTCACCCATTAACCCAATCATTTGCCCAAGCGGGGATCGACTGCACAAAACCCGCTAGCCCAATAACCCAATGATTTACCCAAGTGGGAATGGACCCTACTCCCAAGTTCATTTGGCAAGAATGATTGGGTTAATGGGTTCATGAGTTAATGCAAGTTCATTTGCTCAGAATGATTGGGTTAATGGATCAATGCCTGCTGCGTCCACTAGGCCAGAATGATTCGGCTAATGGGTTGATGGGTTGGGGCCTCCGAAGTCCAGTAGGCGAGATTATTGGGTTCATGGGTTTTGGCCAGAATAATTGAGTCAAGGGTTACTGGGTGAATGGGTTGGGGCCCTGGCAGGCACGCGTTTCGAAACATATGTTGTGTTTCGAATCAATCGAGGGGGTCGGGCGCAAATACGCCAAATCCAGGCGCCCCCTGCAATCCAGCAGCGGATTTCGCCCAGCAAGGCGGCACGAAATCCAGAAAGCAATGCAGAGGTACTTCCAAGAAGCTTATTGTCGAGCTTTCAAGGAAACCAAGGAACAGCAATGCCAAGCGTAGGTACCTCTCAAGGGTGCCCGGAGTGTTGTTGCGAATCATGGCAAATAAGATCCGGGAAGTGCTTCGTGGGGGCCACAGATTGGAGCAAAAGCGATGGACGATAAACGAGCTGAAGCCAGATGGTACCACACAGCTGCATTCGCGATGCGAAGAAGAGCCAACCCCCAGGCTGCGTGGCAGCGGCCCAAAGCGAGAGCAGTGCCAGGCCTGGACCGTTTGTTCGACGGATGCATTGCCAAGGCGTGTGCAGTGCTAGGTACTGGCAGGTAAGTGACGCCCCGGCAACGCACGCCTGCCTGTACCCGGCTGCAGGTCAAACAGTACGAAAAACAACAGTTGTTTCATAGAGCAATCTGTATGTATGGTCAGGCCTCTGGCGTTACGAGTGTGAGCACAGGCGGCACAACACATTGATGTATAGTTAACCAGTAGGGTCCTTAATTCATGATATACTTCACTATCACACTGAACTATGTTGTCTTTTCGTACATGTTATTCAATAAATGCTTTTCTCCCCCATCCTACTTCGGGTACACATTCCACTATATATCATGTTACATTTTATACTATGAGCTCGAGGAAACACTGTAATACATACTATACCACATACTATACTACATACTATACTATATACAATGCTATATACTTTATTGTGTACTGTACTGTATGCGAGGTTATATAATACAAAAATAGTGCACTTTACTATACTCTGCTCTACAAAACAATGCTATACTCTACCAGTGTCATGTGTGAAATGCCGCCACAAAGTGCATATTCGCTGACCTACTACGTACGCAAACGAAAATTATGTTCTATTCTGCTGTGTTGCACATGTTGTTCTGCGGATATAGTCTTGCAAACGTTGTGTTGCTATTCTGTCTTATGCTGCATTAAATATTTTAGGTTAGACATATGTTGCAATGAATCATACGGTATATGAACACGTCGCATACATTAACAAAAGCTTGGTTAGACATTATATCATCTTATCTTACATCGCATCATATCATCTCACAATACTGTGTATTATGCTTGGCATCTTGGTATGATTTATACTGGTTCCCGACATTTTCATATTGTCCATTAGTAGGTTCAGACATGCCATATCATATCTGATGATATTTCACTGTGTTGTGTCAACTAGAGTATGCACCTTGATTTGTATTCCATCATCATGTTAGTTTACATTCTGTCTTGCGTCCTTGGGTTGCGCGAAATACAACATTTCACAAACATTATATGTTATATGCTCTGTACTGTATATGTACCGAAAATTCTTTCATGCGTATTGAAATACATGGGTTTTTCCATACTTCGAGTTAGTATTCCGCCTCATGTTGCCTGATCCTGCTTAATCGTGTCATATCTATGTTCTATTGTCATATCAATCCCTGTTGTGCTATATCATATTTTGTCAGTGTACTGCACCATCCTTTTATGCTTATACTGAAACGTTTCGTTTTACTAGTTTTAAAGTTTTTCCCCTCCTACTTCTTGCAATTTGTAAACTTCCGCACAAATTGCGAATATCTGACAGAAACCTGCAATTCCCCAATGGCTTGCCACAAACCGCAGCCATAGAAATTGCGATTCTCCGATAGCTTGCTGAAAATCACCTCCTTAGAGCCTTAGAAATGGAATGGTGTTCTATTGTCATATCAATCCCTGTTGTGCTATATCACATTTTGCCAGTGTACTGCACCATCCTTTTATGCTTATACTGAAACGTTTCGTTTTACTAGTTTTAAAGTTTTTCCCCTCCTACTTCTTGCAATGTGTAAATTTCCGCACAAATTGCGTATATCTGACAGCAACCTGCAATTCCCCAATGGCTTGCCACAAACCGCAGCCATAGAAATTGCGATTCTCCGATAGCTTGCTGAAAATCACCTCCTTAGAGCCTTAGAAATGGAATGGCGATTCGCTGTTTCCTTCGGAGGATGCGGAAACGTGGGCCAGGGGATAACCAAGCGCATTGGGTGCAACACCGAAGATGCTGAAATGTAGGGATGACCACGCATCCATCTATAGATATATATATATATATAGAGAGTGCGTCGGAATGCAGGCCCGTGTTTTTCAGTCGAAATAAGCGAGTTTCAGTACATTCTTCATGCTTCTCAAGACTTTTGGATCATCTGTAGCAAAATCGAACACAATGGCAAAACCTCCTGCAAGTTTACAAACATGCTGAATGGTAACTGACCAACACAGTTATGCAACAGACATTTGATTTTGTGCTGTTAAGTTACCTATTCGAAATATTCGGGTTTGCCACCCCTTCCATTTTTCTTTAGACCCAGTAGGTATGCTTGAGGAACATGTCAGATGTTATGACCTATTTCTGGATCTTGGCATTCACTGTATCTTCCAGGGTTCTAGTGTAACATCAGTTATGCCTTGTTAGTTGGGACAGAAATGCCACAATTAGATGTTAGTCTTGGCTCTCCACCATGTTTGTGTTAAGTTGCTGAATTTCCACATATCATCTTTTGTTGGAGTTTAAAGTGTTTCTGACCTAGTGGGGTTGACTATGGATTTTTACCCGCAGTCTG